AAACTTAAAGTCACATGTACTAAAAGATATTGAGTAATATAAAACCATATCGAGTAATATACAAAACTTGTCGAGTAATTGTATTTTGACTTGACATCCAAAATATTACATATTAACATCCAAAAAGTAACAATTTTAGATTATAAACCTAGTTAGGAAATAGGAAATTATGAATTACCGTTTTAGTTGAAATAAATAATATACATATATATATATATATATATGTGTGTGTGTGTATATATATATATAATTTATTAATTAATATATATGTATATAACGGGTACGGGGCGGGACGGAGAGTAACATACCCGTCCCCGTCCCCATCCCCGGTTTGAGACAAACGGGGATCCCCGTCCCCGTCCCTGACTGGGACGGGTGGAACGGGTTCCCCGACGGGTCGGGGCTCATTCCCATACCTAACACATACGATCCTTCGTATATATACACACGTATACGAAGGATCGTATGAGAAGGAAAGTTATGATGCGAAATGTAAAAAGATATATGAATCATTAATCATTTTTAATCTCATGCCCACTCATGAATCGTGCTTTAGAAGGGAATTGATCTGGTGCATATCATCAGTGTTGGCATTCAATTAGGATTGATCCGAATATGGAGATCTCTTCTTACGCTTCTCATCATAATTTCTCTTCTCAACAAACCCAACTCTATATATGAATTAAATCAAATGAGAACCATTAATATTGAGAGCCTAAATCAATCTAACTCATTAATTGAATTTGATCAATGGTTCTAAAAATTTATAAAGTTATGAATTAAATGATAAGTTGAAAGGGTATTTATGGGATTTGACTACCAAATTTAAATGTGGAAGGTTGTTAGACGAATTAATATTTCACAAATTAATAAAGATAAAAATCACTCTCTTTTAATCGAAAATATTTTAGTTGTAATAAAAACCAGATTAAAAAGTTATACGAAAATGACCATTTAATCATCTTTAATATGACACCGATGTCGATATATATTTTTTCAAGTTTTTTTAACCATTGCAATTTTCATAAGATACATTTATTTATCTGTTTAACAATTGTTAAATGAGGAGCACTTTCATTATTTATCTGTTTTCTTTTGTTTTTTATCAATCAAAATCGATAATTTAGTTTCAGTCCTTGTGGTTTTTGATTGGGGTAAAGAGAAAAAAAAAAGTAGAAGAACGAAAATATCATTCATTTAATGGAATTCTTTTAATAGTCATTGAAGAGAAGGACCAAACTTGAACGTTTTCTCAAACCATGGTGACCATCTCGTAATTTCGAAACTGTAGGAACAAAAAATGTTATTTTTGACAAACTATAAGGACCAAATTTATAGTTTACTCTTTTATTATATGTTTGATCATATAAATGAATGTGACATATCCTTAGTTTATAAATGATTTTATCTGATCGTCAGATATTTTATAAAATGTCAATAGCAGCCAGACGATGAATGCATACAAATGGGGTGTTATAAAAGTCAAATTATAGACACGAATAATGAATGAAGAAAACAAAGTCATTTTTTAGACCGAAAATTGTGAAATTGATTGAAGCATTCATTTTAAACTAAAATCTTTATTTTTTAGCCAATTTTATTAATAATTTGACTAAACTCACCATGATTTTACAAATGCTTTTTTTTTTTTAACTTGCAAAATGTATTTTTTTTTTCTGAATCAAATATGATTTTTATAGAATCAGCTTGTGAAATTGGCACGACGACTTCCGGAAAGAACGAAACTACTTGCGGAATAAGCATGACGAGAGCTAGGAAAAGGTTTTTTTGACTTACGAAATGGCCTACTGAAAATCATATTTCATATTGATATGGCAATTAAAAAAGTCAACTAAAAAAACAATTTTATTCTATCTCGAACATAATTTCATTGAGAAAGTAAATGAATTCATTATTAGATGTAAATTAAATTATAATAAAAAATTGAATTAAAGAAATTACAAAGAAAAAACAAGACTTTTTAAATATTTAATTTGTTATTAAAGTCGATACATTTTTTTTTTAAAATTTTATGATACCTTCAAATTTATATTTTATTCAAAAATTAAAAACATTATCGACCTCATAAAATCATATTATAACATCGATATTGACAGAATAAAACATAACACTAAAATCGAGATGCATCTCGCTACATTGCATGAGTATCTTTTTGGTTTATTAAAGAATACCTCTTTTGGTATTTTAATTTTTTTATTTAATAGAACTATACTTTTTTGATAAAAGTTCTCCATTATAAAAAAAAAAAGTATAATTTGATTAAATCAAAAAGATTAAAATACTAAAAAAACGAAAAAAAAAACCTTAAATTCCTCTAAGTTGATGAATGATTTTTGATAGATTTAATTTTAAGGACCAAAATAGTAATTTCAAACCATATAAACGAAAATTTGCAATTTCAAAATTCTAAGTGCGAAGATTGTAATCTTTTGCAAACCACAAGGACTAAATTTGTAGTTTATTATTAATGTAAAGTGGATATAAATGACATCCATCCAAGCAAACCTGAGAGCCACCGTCAATGGAGTTTGCGACTACTCTGCTTGGTCTGTTCTTATCATATGTACTTATCCGAACCACGTTCGCATTTCTTGGCGTCGGCAGACCCAAGAACCTACCACCAGGTCCAACCCCGTTTCCGATCATCGGAAACCTCCACTTGCTCGGCGACCACCCAAATCAATCCCTAGCCAAGCTAGCCAAAATCCATGGCCCCATCATGTTCTTAAAACTTGGTCGTATCAACACACTTGTCATCTCCTCCGCCGCTGCCGCCAAAGAAGTCCTCCAAAAACAAGATCTTGCTTTCTCCACTCGCCACATCCCCGATGCCCTCCATGCCCATGACCACTCTATAAACTCCAGCGCCTGGATGCCAGTCGGCGCCCAGTGGCGGACCCTCCGCCGGATCCTCAACAACAACATCGTCTCCGGCGACGCCCTTAATGCCAACCAGCACTTGCGGAACCAGAAAGTGCAACAGCTTATAGCGTACTGTCGGAAAGCTAGCCAGTGTAATGAGTCGGTGGATATCGGGCGAGCTGCTTTCAGAACCAGTCTGAATCTGCTGTCGAATACTGTTTTCTCCAAGGATTTAATAGACCCATTTGAGGATTCTGGTAAAGAATTTAAGGAGGTGTTTGGGAACATCATGATAGAGGCTGCGAAGCCGAATCTGGTGGACTTCTTCCCGGTGTTTAAGAAAATGGATCCACAAGGGATCAGGAGGAGGATGAGTGGTCATTTTGGGAAGGTTTTTGAGATGATTGAGGAGATGATGAAAGAGAGATTGGTGATGAAGAGATGGAAGCAAGAAGATGATGTGTTGGACAGATGCTTAAAAATCTGTCAAGAGATGCCGGATGAAGTCAGTCGGAGACACATCATGAGCCTATTTTTGGTAAGTAATCTTAGGGGCCGTTTACCAAACGCTTACTCGGGTAAGCGCTTACCAAATTACATTGTCTCACTGAATGAATATGGTAAGGGCCAAGAATCTTACCCCGTAAGAGCGAAACAAGGACCAAAAGTCTTACCCGATAAGTGAAGGTGACAACTCTTATCCTGGTAAACGCTTACCGGGTAAATTGTTGCATACGATGTCATTTTGGTGGACTAAAATCTTACCCGGTAAGTAAAATAATATTGTTAAATTTTACCGGTAAGCACCTACCGGGTAAGTGTTTGGTAAACGACCCCTTATTTTTCTTGTATTTTTAAAAGAATTCAAATTCAAGCAGAATAAAACTCTCGTGTGATCATCAAGGTTCAAATACGGTGGCTTTGAATTATCTTATATAATTATTTTATCGGGTAAAAAAACGTTAATCAACAAACCATTTTGATAGTTAAAAATGTTATATAATAAAACAAGTTTAATTATTATAAATTACATACTAATATATTTTATGTATAAGTTTAATTACTATAAATTA